TTCAAGTCACTCAAATCTTTTGAAACACACGCGTCCAAGCTGTGCATCCGGTTTTGCATCGATGCATTCACAAAGGTCCGATTTAATGTCAGCCACTTATATAGACTTGCTTCTACACTATACCCATAATTCACTGTTGTAAAATTGTTGACCTGAAAGCTTTACTTAAAAAAAAACTTGGCATTTTAATTTACACCGCCTCCTCCGTGTCAATGCACATTTGTGTGTATGCCTGTGTAAATGTATGTCTGTGTATGTGTCGGCGGGTGAGGTATAACAGCTATTTAAAATAAATTTGTGCAGACGATATATGACATGGGAAAAACCAATATTTGTATAAAGTGTCGTCGATCACATTGCATGCTAAACACTGAGTGATTTGGACTACCATTTGGTTCTCTCTCGACTAAAACATAAATTTTTTAACAATCTCTTCGTCAATCCAAACAACTGACAGGAAGGCTTCGATCGGAAATTCTCTGAATGATAAAACCTCAAATTCATTTAACTTAGCGAATCAGGGTGAGTAACTGATTATCTTTACATATTGTGGGAGGTAAATATTTACTGGGGTCAATCACGAATATATATTTAATATATAAGATGTTCTCGAAGTAACATATCAGTAACTTTATACACACAGCAAAAACGAATTCGGACTGAAGATATTGCTCGGCAAAATTTCAAATCCTAATATATATGCACTTTATTCTTGCTAACAGCAGTAAAATTAATTCGATAAAAAATGAATCACAGTAAAATTAATTTTCAAGTAAACATCAGTCAATATATGTCTCAAGAAAATACTGACAGAATTTTCTATTCGAAAAAATAAAACGCAAAACGCTATCGATATAAGACGTTGCAAGGCTTTTATTATCAAACGATTTTCATCCCTTAAAATACGAAACTGTGACACACATCTAAACTGTTATAAAATAAAATGAAGTAAAACAATTTAGAATGTCTATAAAAGGGATTCTTTTCAATCACCAAACATTTGAAACAAACCACAAATGCAGACATGCGCACATCAACACTCCCCTTTCTGACTCATTCAATCTTCTTTCTTTTATAGACTTTTCTCTTCAGCAATGTTTTCTTTGTTTCCACCAATCTCAAACCCTGTATCGCCTTACTTGGGAATTAAATGTTTAATATATACAGATATATGAATAAAAACAAAAGGAATGATGAACATTATTAGGGAAAAATGTAAGGATTTTGTTTTGAAACAATTACTTATAAACAGAAATCAATATATCATCCGGGTTTCAAATTTTAAATTTCAGAATGCCCATAAATATTCTACTGGCTAACTGTGAAAGTCAAGGGAAACTATGGAGGATTTTTAAGAATGTAATGAAATTTAATGCATAATAAACGAAAGTGAGTAAATGTTGTTATTTTCTAATATTGAATTTTTAATATAATTATTATTTATTATTTGATTTTAATGGGATAATAGTTTCTGTATTTATTTATTTTAAATAATAGATTTTGATTTAACCATTTTCGTTAAATTTATAAACAAATATGCTCATGTATGTTGGCTTGTGAAAGTAGTATAAATTTAATAAAGATAAGATTGTAGTTGAAAAAAAATTTCGAGCATAGGTTAACAAATTGACATGTTTCCATAGCGGCACTCACAAGAACATTCCATCGAAGTAAATTAATTTCTCTTTTAATAAGTGTGACATTCCGAAGTTGTCATTGAACTTATTTCTATGTATGACTAATACATTAGATAAATTGTTATATATAAGATCCTTCTCTTTATAGATACGTTTTTTATATTTCTGCAAGTTTACCCAATATATTGTAAAAAACATTCGCAACAGTTTATTTTATATATACATTCTTCATGGGAATATTTGGTTCTGATTCTATCCATAATAGTTCTGGATGTGGTTGCAATTATTTTGATATTGTTAAAATCGGTCGTCACGCTAAAATTAATTCAATAAAGAAATGAATCGTGGTCAATATTAATTTTAAAAAAAATCAAATGAGTTACAATAATGAAATGAAATAAAACTACCATATGTGAAAGCTTTTTTGTCTAGATAAGAAAGGACACCTTCGCAAAGGCATATATTATGTACGTTTTAATGTCAATTATTAATATAGATATGATTGTATACATAACAGAAATGTTAAAGCACAGCGTTGTAAATAATATTAAAACGCTATTTGACAAAAGCATGAAACGCTAGAGATCTAGACAATGATTAAGTCGATGCTCTTGAAGATGTATTAAAGCAACATTTCATAATAATGATGTGAGTGTTATCTATGAAAAACAAATATACATCGAGAATATTAAAAAGCAAATTCACCTGGGGCTGCTTTAAGATAACATTTGATAATAATGATGGGAGCTTTATCTATGAAAAACAAATCAACATCTGAAAAAAATATCATGGATTCTCATGAAGCTGTTTTAAGTAAATATTTAATAATAACAAAGTTAAGAAAGTCATCTATCAATAACGAATCTAAATCTAGACAATTTTCAAGCAGATTCCCTTGAACCTGCTTTAAGGCAATATTTAATAATAATGATGATATGTCTCAGAAAGGGATATATTTGAACGAAGTAGCTGAGTGGTTTTGGCTACTATAACCAAGTAGAATACGGTATTACTAATCGACTGGTACGCGTCGTGGTCACAGGTAAGAAGTGTAGATCAATGAAGTAGTCCAATGGGCGTCGTTATAGACTTAGCTCCCAGACTAAGGCTCTTTTACTCACCTACACGTCCGTCGGTATTAATGACGGACACCAGCCAATCACATTCCAGTGAGGGGTAACACGGGTGTATGCATATTCCATTATATCTCCCGTGAATTTTAGTTTTAATCCTTCCTCTTCTTAGAGTCTGGACATAAACGATTAACTTTTTTTCTAAGCCTTTTTCGCCTCAATCCTCCTTGCAGTGGTGGCGTTTGACACACTGGTACCTCTGGGCTTGAGGTCGGGGATATCTCCATCGGCGAATGTTGACTCACTGGCACGGGAATATCAAATGCGTCATATAAGGCTTCCATTGGAATCTCTTCGGTACTTTCCGTGACCTCTGTAGTCTGTCTGGGTCTTAACTGATTCCAATGTCTTTTACAACGGAATTTCTCTCCTTTTATGTCATATATGACTTGACCAATTCTCTTGTTTATTACACCTTCTTCCCAATACGCTTTTCCAGCCCTAAAATTTTTAAAGAAAACTTTATCTCCTGGCTTATATACTTTAGTCATGTAGTTTTGTTTCTCCGCAGTTTTCTTCGCCGGACTAGGCAACAGTCTGTCGAAAACAGAGCGTATTCTTCTTGAAAACATTAACTCTGCTGTCGATAATCTTGACGTCGTAGTCGGGTTTGGCATGATTCTGTACACTGCCAAAAAATTCTGAATACTCTGTTCATTCGTGTCCACGCGTTGACTTTTCTTCAAGGCTCGTTTAAATGTGTCCACGAATTTTTCTGCCTGTCCATTCGATCTTAGATGATAAACTGGTGCTGTCACGTGATCGATGGATAATGATATGCAGAATTCCTTGATTTCTCTTTCCGTAAATTGCGTTTCGTTGTCACTGACTAAAGTTTTAGGGAGTCCGAAACGACTAAAAATTTCACTAAGGGCATTTATCGTATTTGTCACAGTTGGATGTCTGCACTTAATTTCTGGCCACTTAGTAAAACTGTCTACCACAATCAGGTAATACAATCCATTTATGGGTCCTGCATAGTCGATATGCCGTCGAGTCCATGGGACATCTGTCTTTGGCCATGGTTAACTCTTTACAGGTGGATCCCTTGCTGCCAGGTGACATTCTTTACACTGTTTCACCACATTTTCTATATCCTGGTCCATCCTCGGCCAATACGTGTATCCTCTCATTAGAGATTTCATTCGCAAAATCCCTGAATGACCAGTGTGGAATTCTTTTAGAATTTTTTTCTGTAAAGTACACGGCATGACAACTGTCTGCATAAAGTAATACCTGATCACATTTTGAAAAAGGTGACGCACTCATTCCTTTTTTGTTTCCTCGTTCAATCCGACTTGCTTTTTCATTTTCTTAATGAAATCATCGTTTTCCGCTACTTTTTTCACATCATCTAGAGTAACCGGGAGTTCTCTAATGATATTGCATAACAGACCTGACAATTCACTTTCGTCTCTCAGCGCCGCTATTACTGTTTCTTCCAGCGGTTCCGCATATTTCGGTATTAACCTCGACAACCCATCGGCGTGACCTAGCTTTTTTGAAGACACATATTCCATTCTGAAATTGTAATTCAATAGAATTATACCCCAACGCTGTAGTCGATTTGCCGTGTGAGTTGGTATACCTTTTTTTGAACCAAAAATTGTTAACAGCGGTTTGTGGTCAGTTTGCAGAGTAAATTGTCTTCCATATATGATTCTGCGAAACTTCTTTAGAGCCAAGATTATTGCCAAACTGTCTTTTTCAATTTGGCTATAGTTTCGTTCCGCGGGCAGTAACGTTCTCGAGGCATGTGCTACTCGTTTCGTAGGTCCGTCCTCGAGTTTATGTAGCAATACAGCGCCTAGTCCGTCATTACTAGCATCTGCTGCTACAATCATTTTCTTCTTCGGGTCGAAATGCGCCAACGATAGGTCTGCTAATAAACAATTTTTTTAAAGCATCCTCGCATTCTTTCGACCATATCCACTTTGTGCCCTTTTTCATCAAATTGTTTAAAGGGGCTCTCATTTCATACATTTTTGGGATATAAATAATATAATAGCTTACCAATCCCAAAGCCGCCTGGAGTTTAGCCACATTATCAGATTCTGGCAGATTTTTTATAGCCTCAGCTCTTTCTGGATCCGATTTTCTTCCTTTGCTGTCAATTATCTGCCCTAAATATTTTATCTTCTTTAGGAAGAACTCACATTTTTCAGTACTCAGTTTGAACCCGTATTCCTCAATTCTCTGAAATACTGCTCTAATATGCGTTTTATGTTGG